CATGTCAAAGCAATTTTGATGTGGCTTTAATTTCACTGCACAGTGGTACTTTGCTCATTCCGTCCACATTATTGAACAGATAGACAGTCAGCATTCTGCTCTAATTTAACAGACCATATACCTGGGCACTGCTCCCATTCAGCTCACCACCTCCAAACTATAACCAACTAACAGGCTAATGACAACGTGCAGTGTCCGTCCTCTTGCCTTTTAATATCTTTCCGAGCCTCTATTTCCTTCGTCTTTTTTTTTCTTTCAAAGACAGGTTATCTAAACTGCTGTAAATATTTTATACTCTGTGCACACAAACGTGACTGCAGTCCAGGACCTCCACCTGTGTGAACCCATAAAGCTCATGCTCAGACCTCAGGCCAGTGGAATGGTGTTTCTGCTCTTTCCCCAGTTGTGGGAAGTCATGTGAACGGCTCGGGCCAAGCGGGGACGCAGGCCGGCCGACATCCATGTCTCTACTGCAGTGGCAAAAGCAGATGTGAGTTTTGCAACGAGTGGGACGGCCGTGTTCCAGCGGTCCACAGCACTGCTGCTCAGTTTGCCTGAGGGTTAAAGGAATCCAAAGTTAATAAAATGTCTTCATCTCACGAACAGCAGAAAAGGGAATGGCGCAGTGTACTGAAAAGCAAGAGCCACTTTCAGAAATGCGTGTCCTGAACTGAGGTTCACTGGGTAATGGTGTGTATACTCCACACATCCTCACTCACTCTGTGGAAAAAAACACTAAACTCTGCTCCCACTTATTTAACCCAACTTTACACTGCATGTTTTTTGTTTTTTTTGCACAACTTCACTGTCACCAAGTAGTTTGCAACATGTGGGCAACCACCCACCCTACTGGCACATGACTGGCAGTTTCCACAAGTTATGTAATCCCTCAAAGCCTGAGCCACATCACAGACTCAGAACTGACTTTCAGCAAATTTAGCCTGAGTCCGCAGCCACTGGAGCCCTTCAGGGACCGAGGGAAAGATGAAGGCACCATGAGCCACGTTGAGAATAAAATACCAAAGAAAAGAAGAGACAAGAAAAGGTACAGCAGGTATTTTGATTTGATCAGAAATGTCATGATAGCAGCGAACACATCCATCATCAGTTGTACCTAAGAGTCGTTTGGGTTTTTCTTTTTCATGACTAGTCCTAGTGAGAAAATACAGTGTGTGTTACAGCAGCCATTTTGGGGGTCGTTATCCCCTGGGTGGCTGCCAGGGGGCTTTAGAGGGGTCTCAGAAAATTGGAGGGAAGAAGACAAAATTTTTTTGAATAATTTTTTAGGTATCTGCTTTTATACCTATTTTGACTTGAACCGTTCAACATGTAAATCGACGAAATCATTCAATTCAAGTTTCCAATGGTACCTGAACGCACTGACGAAATCATTGGATTCGCAAGTTTCCAATGGTACCTGAACGCACCTCAGAAAGACTGACACACATGTAC